TTTCATGGCAAATAAGTAGATATGCTACCTTTAATTTAAGGCTCTCCATATACTCCCTATTCAACTGAGACTTTTTCAAAGACATATAAATACCTAATTTGCCAAGTTTCCTGAATGCATAGTTGCTTGTTTGGGTCAATGGATTCAGCCATTATTTGAGTACTAGAAGGAGCTAAGAATACTTTAATTTCTAGTCCCTGTCTTACAAGTTATTTTCACCTAATTCTTTTATTGCACCTGTTTTGACAGTCCTGAATCAATTATTATTATTTTTGGTATTCAAATTAGCAAGGTCTATTTCTATTCAGTCACAGACTTACCATCTTCTTATCTTGCCATTTGTTCCTGGTTGTCATGTTTTCTTTATGTTGTTTATTTTTACTGAATATATTTTTCTACATTTCTATCTTAAAATGTCTCTATTTCGCACTAATTATTCTATGATTATTCTTCATCTTCAGGACACTATTTTAAATTGTTATTTTTAGGTTACTATGACTGCTGCTGAAATGCTTACTGTGTGATAAATCATTCTTCAGAAGGTATTCTATGTCTCTCTATGGTTGTTGTAAAGTCTTTTTTATTGGTATACTGAGTTTTGCGTATAATGTACTTAAGTGTGAATTTATTTTTGTCTGTCTTTTAATAAGCTTATAATGTGTTCTTAATCTACAAATGTTTCTCTTTCGTGAAGTCTGGAAGATTCTCAGCCATTTTATCTTTCATTATCTCTGTTGTATTTTTTGTAGTATTATTTTTCAGAAACATCAATTCGATATATAGCATATGTTCACATTTCATTCTCATTTCTATAAATTCTTTCTATTTTCCATTTGTTCTCTTTTTATACTGTAAGTAATTCTTTATTTAGCATTAGCAAAAAGCTTTTTTTAATTTTATGTCTAATTCACTATTGAACCTACACACATTACTGAATTTGCTGGGTAAAAATTTTTCATGTACCTAAAACTACTTTGGTTATTTTTTAAAATATTTTTTGACAATACTTTGGTTATGAATCTACAACTTTAGCAGTTTGAAACAGACTTATTTACCATTCCTACATTTGTTCAATTAAATTATCTTCTTTACAGTTCAAATATGTTGTTTGTTGTGTTTAAAAATTCTAAATCATCACATATATGTTTTATAGTTTCTGATTGTAAGCTAAGTGACTATAAGCAAGTCACGATCACTAGGTATCCTTAACCGTGGTAGATGAACCATTCATTGTTGTTCATCATTTTCTACTGTCAAATTCCTGGAGTACTACTATTTTATATTAAATCTTCACTTTTAGAATTCTTCAATTTTAAGCTTCATTGATAATATAGTCATCGTGGACCCTGTGGCTATGAGTTTCACTACCTCCGCTATATATGACATTATTTTTTCCAAAATTTATCTTCAGAGTTTTCTCCCTTCCCCACAAAAATGAAAAGTATTTATGAATTCCTGTTGATGGCACAAGAATAGAGACCTAGACTGCCATTTAAGAGGAGAAAAGGGGAGGGTTATAACTGAGTTCACTGTTTAAGAGGAGATGCTGAACTGAATTTCTATAAGTATGGTTTGATTCCCACTGCACTGATCTAGCTAGACTTTGATGATCTGCCTTTTTTCCTTACAGCACTGGCAAACACATAATGAGAGGAGTCATAGCTGAAATATGCTGATTCAGATGATTGTTGTTTTGCTTCATAGGCAAGTCTGGGTTTTGGAGTGCCTAGGCCTACCTTTGTGGTTCCTAGAAAATGAAACAAAGGTCATAGACATGGAGTGAGTATATGATTCATACGTTCATTTGTTCAGTCAGCAAATATTATGAAAATCATGAGATAAGCTCAAAGAGCAGGTATGGCCCGTGTATTTAAAAGAATAATGTCTATATCCTTCTAAAAACCCTAGCATGTACGTATATTGAAAGGTTTGTATTATTATTTGATCCTGGGCATTGAATGAGGAGTCAAGCATATGGATTGGACTGCATACAATTCACTAAAGCTATATTCTGTGACACTGTCAGAACGTATGGTGTAACACAACTATTAACTTCCACTATTTGTCAAACTTTTCCTCTGAAAATTTGTTCGCCTGGAGCCTGGATGCACTCACATCTAGTCCTTTATTGCCAAAACACAATTCTCTGCACATTATAGTTACTGAAAACCAAAAACCCTCTGGAAACTGCAAAGCTTCATGCTTGAACAAGAGTTTACAGTTCGAACAGTTGCTTCCCTTCCACTCCCCTCTCATGACTTTTATAGGTGGAGTACTTACTTTTTCTTGAACTGTTATCTCTGGTTTGGGCAGGGAATACTGTGTCTCAGTACTTGGTGCTTCTACCTGGATCCTGCCCTAAGGTTATTCATACCCAACAATCCTGGTTCAGAGTTTTTGGTACTTTTTTTTTTTTTTGCTTTAAATTTTTTCGTACTATCAACCTCTGTGCCTCCCTTTCCCCAAACATTCACAATCTCAAGTGAAATTTGTATTTTGGAAGAAATTGGATATTCACGAATTTATGATGCCACTGTTCCTATTTCAAATGTTAACCAAGCTCATTGCCCCATATTTAGCTGTTTGAGAATAACAAGATTCTCATTAATATGTCTGACTTGTGTAATTTGCACAAACTGTAATTAAATATTGTGTGATGAATGAGCTTGGTGCTGAGCTAGGTGTGTTGGCACAATTGGGTTAGGATTGTATGTATGACTGATTTAATGCTTACAAATGATAACGTTTAAATGTTACATTGGGTAAGGTTTATTTGAATGGGAATGATATGCGTGGTTTGTGCGTGGGTGTTAGTATGACACTTATCTTTGTGTGTCCATTGTATGTGCTATGCGTTATTATTATCCTTCGATTGTAATAAAAATCTTATGGGATTAAATTATAAGTATATAATGACACTATATGAAATGTGTAGGTCTTCCTTCGGTGGATCACATCTTACAGCATACAATTGCAATATGTCAATTTTAAAAAACTTAAAGTCAATGAATATTTGAAACTTGCATTTTAAAATGTATTCTTGGAAACTGATAAACAAATAAAGATAACAGGTATTTTTATTTTAATTGTATGTAGGAAACAACAAAAATAAAAGTATTAAAGTAGTTCTAAAAGAGACATTATTGAGTGATGAAAAACCTTTTGTTCACAAAGTAAGTGATTCTAAAGCAATATAGAATTTAGGGGAAGAATTGCATTTGATTTTACAGAAAAAAAGAAAGAGAAGCTATACTAAATCCTACCTACAAAAGAGCATAGATTAAAACATAGATAAAATGACAAAAAATTATAAATTGTGAAAGTATGGAGTTATTAAAATTGAACAAATATATTAACTATGTACATAAGTAGACCCTGAGTTAAATAAGTAAAAGATATAGCAAGAAATTAAGTTTTTAAATATGATTTTTGACATCATAAATTTAATCCATTTAAATCACATGTGTCTAAATAATAATACCTTATTGAAATTCAGTAAAGAGACCTGTATACAGAACCAGGTAAGCAAATAAAATAATAATCCTGAAAGTCAAAATATAGGCTCACGATCATGAAATCTTAACTCAATATCTTAAAGCTCGTTATGTCTAATAGAGTAAAAAGTAGTTATATGCAGTAGATACACTGATAGAAATCCCTAGATGATACAAACAAAATCACTTAAGTGAACTTTAACAAAACAACTTGATTATTGAAAGAGAAATGTAGGCAAGAAATACTAAATCATATAAACTAATATAATTATGTGATAATTATATGAAGAAATAGTCTTCAACTGTAAACTTAAAGTTCATTTCTTTGCCACTCTATTCTTTGTGAGTAAAATGATTTTAAGCAGCCACAAATAGGTATTAGTGCCTAGGACAGGCAATCAAAAGTATTACAACTTTGGGTAGAATCATGGAAAATTCAAAACATAAAAGAATTAAGCAACTTAGTTTACAAGAGAGTAAAATGAGAAATATATTTAAGCAATATCATCAACTACAAAAATAATAAACCAAAAAGTAAAACCCCAGAAATAAAATGAAAGCTTAATTTAATCTAATCATTATTATGCCATCACTTTTGTATCTGGCAGAGTCTCAAAGGCAGCTAGAGGAGTGGGAAAGCTTTGTAGTGAAAAAAAGGAATAGCTCGGAGTGCCCTGACTGAGGATGTTGGCATGAGAAAGCTGTAGGCAGCTAACTAGAAGTGAGTGGTGTATGTAATTGAGTAGAAAAGCACGATTCTCCAGTTAATCCTAAATTGAAAGTACAGACACAAATTAGGAAAGTTGTCAGTTATTAATCAAGTTCTGGCCATTTTTACCTTGAATGCTATAAGGAGTTGCTGACTTGATGGACTGGCTGCTGCTGATTGTGGATCAGAATTCTATTTTCATATGTAATCTGGCCATTGTTCACTTGTATATTCAAACTCTGAAAGTACATTGATATGGATGATAATTTTAATTAAAAAAATTATCTTCTAGTTCTAACTAATTTTCTCTTTTACCTTTTCATTTTTCTTCCTCTTTTGTAAAATGAATCTAGCTTCTTCATATAAGAAGAATCATTTGCCAGTGAAAGCTAGTTTGATTTCTGTGTTGCTGCAGAGAACAAAGGGATTGCACAATTCAGGAGCTTATGAAGCTTTGAAGCTGGCTCTTCAAGGTAACTTGCTTTGCACAATTCTCTCTCCCTCTCAATTCCATTAGCCTCACCTGTTTCTCTTTCCCCTGGGATAGGGTTAAGGGTCATCTCTGCTGCTGCTAGGCTAAGGTTCTTGCTGCATTAATTGAGGTCTTCAACATACCACTAACATGTTTACAAATAGACAATGTGTCCTTTTTTCTGTTGAGACTCAGACCGATCAAAATCAGATTACAGCAATTTTTGAAAAATCAACAGACTGTACTCTTTCCTTCCTACACGAAACTACACATAATGTAACTCATTTCTGCCTTCCAAATCTCAATAGTAAATCTGCCTTGCAGACCACAGATCACACGAAGAACATAAACTGCATGAAGTATGGTTAATTTAATTTTAGCTGTTCAGTCTCAATAACTCAGGAAACTATACCAAAGGGGATAAGAGGGGATACTGCTTTAGCCAACATGATTATTATCTACTACAAGCACTAATATTTGCAAGTAATTATTTTCAGAAAGTTGATCTGTTATGGAGTGACTAATAATAGTGTGTCGTTCAATATTTATCACATGTATGCTTTACCTGTGTTGTTCTATGCAGATATTTAGAATAGTAATCAAAGAGAGTAACCCAATATTAACCACAGAGATGTAATTTTTTTTTTTTACTTTATTTTATTATAAAGATGTGTGGGTACAAGTCAGAATTTGGTGCATAAGTAAAGTATGTACAGGTGAAGTTTGAACCTCCAACTGATCCTCAATTCCCCTGGTTTAGGATCAGGTGCCATTTGTGTTGTCACATGCCCCCACACCCTCCCCAGCAGTGTTCTACAACTGCCAATCCCTCCCTGGTGCTATTGGGATAAATATTCAGGTCCCTCTTATGAGTGAGAGCATATACACAATGGAATATTATGCAGCAATAAAGGGCAAAATCATGAACTTCACAGCAAATTGGATAGAACTGGAGATAATCATAATTTAGTGATCTAGCATAGAAACAAAGAGATGTATATTTTGATTATCAAAGCACAGTAAGGCTTAAAAGTTCAGACAAATTTTGCTTATTATTTTTGTATTTAGAATATGTATCTCTCAAAGCTTCTGCACAGGCAAGAAGACAATAAAAAAGTAAAGAAACAACCCACAGACCTGTAGCAAATATTTGAAGACTGCTCATCTGACAAGGGATTAATATCCAAAATGTATAAAGAGTTCAAACAACTCAATAGAAAAAAAATCTGATTAAAAAATGGGCAAAAGTTTTGAATAAATATTTTTGAAAAGAAGATATACAAATGGCCAGCAGGTATGTAAAAAAATGCTCAATGTCACTAATCATCAGATACCTTAAAAATCAAAACAATGAGGTATTATTTTGTCTCAGTTAAAATGACTTTTATAAAAAAAAAAAAAAAAGCCGGCGTTGGTGGCTCAGCCTTTAATCCCGCGCCTTTGGGAGGCTGAGGTGAGTGGATTGCCTGAGCCCGCGGGTTCGAGACCCGCCTGGGCAGCGAGACCTCATCTCTACAATAAATCAAAAAATCAGCTGGGCGTGGTAGCACATGCCTGTAATTCCGGCTACTCGGAAGGCTGAGGCGGAAGGATCACCGGAGTCCAGCAGGTTGAGGCTGCGGTGGCCGTGAGCGGCCACTGCACCCCAGTCTGGGTGACAGAGTGAGACTCCAACTCCAAAAAAAAAAAAAAAAGTAATAACAGATTCCAGTGAGGATTTAGAGAAAGGGGAAACCTTGTACACTATTGGTAGAAATGTAAATTAGCACAGTCGCTATGGGAAAACAGTATGGAGGTTCCTCAAAAACTAAAAACTGAACTACCATATGATCAAGTCATCTCACCCACCCCCTAACAACAACCAATCAGGTAATGGTACCGGGTTATCTGAAATTCCAGATATCTCAGCAGCTTCCCCAGTTGACAGACCGTGGTCAACTTGTGGTTGACTCAAACAAGATAAACCAATCCTATTCGCATGAGGTGGCCACTAATGTTTGCTATCGAATAAACTATTAACAAATTTGGAAACCCCCCACCAAGCTCCCTCCTCTCTGTAACCACAATAAAAATCGCCTGCTTGGGGATCTCGGGGTCTCTGTGCGCACTCCGCTATTTCAGTTGCCTCAGAGGTCCAGGCTCGAGCTTATAAATAAAGACCCTTTTGAATTTTCATTGGAATTGGCTCTTGATGGTCTCTCGGATCGAACTCTTGGCCACAACATTTGGGGGCTCGTCCGGGATCCCAGAGACCGCCCCCCGCCCCAAGACCCCAGTCCGGAGAGTCTTCAGGCCAGCATTCAGTAAGTCGCTCCCGGGTAAGTGCACTTGTGTTCAGTATCTTGGGTGGAGCTCCACACTCCTGTTCTTTGTTATAAGGTCGGCATTGGCTAGTCGGATGCGCTGGCAAGCCGCCGACTGGGGCTTGTGGGAGACGTCCCACAACCCCGTCTGGAAGACGAGGTCTTCATCTGTGGGGAAGGTCAGAATCTTCAACGATCTGTCCCACCCCTAGCCTCCTTTCAGATCTTTTTTCGCGGCCGCTACCATTTGCCTTTTGTCATTTTCTTGTTTGTCTCATTGATTGTGTTTGTTGTGACGTTAGTAGTAACAAGTGAGATGGGACAGGCACAGACAACGTCGTTAACTCTCATGACTAATCACTTTTCAGAACTAAAGGAGAGGGCTCACAATCTGAGTGTGGAAATACACAAGAAAAAATTCCGGGACTTGTGTGCCTCTGAATGACCCGCCTTCAATGTGGGCTGACCACGGGAAGGGACTTTCCTAACGCATGTTCTCCTACAGGTCAAGAATATCCTTCTCCAAAAAGGCTCCAAGGGACACCCGGATCAACTGCCTTATATACTGGTCTGGCAAGATATAATGGAATCCCCACCCCCTTGGGTGAAACCCTAACATCTTACCCCAACCCAAGAGTTGAAAGTACTTGCCTTGCAGGAGAGGAGAATGGAGCCTCCAGAGCCTCCAGAGATTGGGCCGTCACAGCCTCGGGAGAAACTGAACCCCTTCCATAAGTCGTCAAAGAACCCCTTTTACCCTGTTCTCCCAGACTACAGCATGGAGGAAATAATCTTCCCTCCCCCATACCAGTCAGTTCCTCTAGGGCCCTCAGCCCCACCAGCACCGCAACCCCAAGCCGCTGCTGCAAAAGCAGACCCAGTGGTGGCTGGGGAGGGAAGGCAGGAGGAGGTGGTAGACAGCCCAGCCGCAGGGCCCTGAAGGAGGGTCGCTAGAGTGGCTGGTCCTGGAGGGGGGCCCGCAGACTCCACGGTAGTCTTGCCATTGATGGTGGCTGGGCCCCTGGATGAGGCCGGGAACCAGCCCATGCATTATTGGCCATTTTCTACTAGTGATCTATATAATTGAAAAACACAAACGGTCACTTTTTCTGAGAATCCTAAAGGCCTGATTAACTTGCTGGAAAGTGTTCTCTTTACCTGCCAGCCCACCTGGGATGATTGCCAGATTTTGTTACAGGTGTTATTCACTACCGAGGAAAAAGAGAGAATCCAGACGGAGGCCCGGAAGTTAGTTCCGGAAGTCGACGGGCAGCCCACCACCAACCCTGACCTGATAAATGTTGCCTTTCCTCTTTCCTGGCCTGGATGGGATTTTAACATGGCAGAAGGTAAGGAGAAACTCCGGGTCTACTGCCAGGCTCTGATGGCAGGTCTCTGGGCAGCTGCTCGCAAGCCCACTAATTTGGCTAAGGTATACAATATAAGGCAGGATAGGGACAAGAGCCCAGCCACATTCTTGGAGCGTATTATGGAACCTTTCTATCAATACACCCCAATGGATCCAGAAGTGCCCGAAACTAAAGCGACTGTGATCATGGCATTCATTAATCAGGCAGCGCCGGACATAAAAAGAAAATTACAGAAGGTAAAAAGACGGGGAAAAAAGATTTTAGAGGATTTACTGAAAGTGACAGAGAAAGTCTATAATAATAGAGAAAGTCCGGAAGAATGGCAAGATAAGCACAGTAAATGACAAACCAGAGGGCTGGCAAAAATCCTCTTGGCTGCCACTGCCCAAGACCCTGTAAAAAGCAAAAGTGGTTCAAAAAACTGGCTGCTGAATCCTGACAATAAACCGGGAAATCCCCAGTCAGACCACCCCAAGGTAAAAAAAAAAATCAGTGTTTCTGCTGCAAGGAGGAAGGGCATTACATAAAGAACTGCCCTAAACGCCCTCCTCGTCCTGAGGACAAAGTGACTGTACTCGTTACCGAATAGGGGGGTCAGGGCTCAGTTCCCCCCCTGAGCCCCGGATAACCTTGGAGGTAGGGGGAAAGCCTGTGACTTTTCATGTAGACACAGGAGCAGAGTGATAGGTATTAATAAAACCCCAAGGCCCTCTTTCAGACAAAATCTTGTGGGTTCAAGGGGCTAATGAGGTAAGACCGGCATACTGGACCACTTAAAAAAACAGTAAATTTAAACACAGGTACAGTCACCCATGAGTTTCTGGTTCTTCCCCACTGCCAGTACCCTTTGTTTGGGAGAGACCTGCTGACCAAAGTAGAAGCAAATATCAGCTTCCGATCAGATGGGACAAAGGTCACGGATTCAATTGGGAGCCCCCTACAAATTCTAACTGTTAAATTACAAGATGAATACAGACTGTACCAGATCCCTAACGCAGAAATAGCACCAGAAATGAAAGATTGGCTCCAAGAAATTCCCTTAGCATGGGCAGAGATCGGGGGAATAGGACTGGCCAAACACAGACCAGCGGTGTTCGTGGAATTAAAACCCGGAGCAGACCCAGTTCGGGTCCAGCAGTATCCAATCTCTGCGGAAGCACGGGATGGGATAACCCCCCATATACGACGGCTGCTGAATGAAGAAATACTATGATGCTGCCAGTCCGCTTGGAACACACCCTTATTACCGGTACGAAAGCCCAACTTAACTGACTACCGACTGGTACAGGACTTGCGGGAAGTAAACCGCCGGGTAATGGACATACACCCCACAGTCCCTAGCCCCTATACCTTCCTTACTGCCTTGGTCCCAGACAAGGTGTGGTACACGGTATTAGACTTAAAAGATACCTTTTCAGCCTGTCGTTGGCCCTGCGAAGCCAAGACATCTTTGCCTTTGAGTGACTGAACCCAAAAAGAGGTATCAGCGGGCAGCTCACCTGGACCCGGCTTCCTCAAGGATTTAAAAATTCTCCTACCATCTTCGACGAGTCTCTGCATGAAGACCTGAGTGAGTTCCGTACTAAGCACCCCACTTTAACCCTGTTACAGTATGTGAATGACATTTTGTTGGCTGCCGAAACCCAGGATGCATGCCTGGAAGGCACCAGAGATTTGCTACAAGTATTAAGTGTCCTAGGTTACCGAGCTTCAGCGAAAAAGGCACATATTTGTCAAACTGAGGTAAGCTACCTAGGCTACAAACTAAAAGATGGACAGAGAGGGTTAACTGAAGCCCGTAAAAAAACGGTGCTGAAAATTCCACAACCACAAACTGTGCGGTAGGTACGTGAGTTCCTGGGGTCGGCTGGCTTTTGTCACCTATGGATTCCGGGGTTTGCTGAGCTCACCCGGCCATTATATTAGGCCACCAAAAACAAGTCCGAACTTGTATAGACAGAGGACATGAACAAATCTTTTGAGACTCTCAAACAAGCACTGATTTCAGCCCCAGCACTGGGGCTGCCAGACCTGACTAAACCCTTTTTCTTGTTTGTTTATGAGTCCGAGGAAATAGCCAAGGGAGTACTGTTACAGCAAACTGGACCATGGAAAAGGCTGGTGACATACCTGTCTAAAAAGCAAGACCCTGTGGCTGCCAGGTGGCCCCCATGCCTGCGAATCATTACAGCGTTTGCCACAATGGTTAAGGATGCTGACAAAATTGCCATGGGAAAAGAACTGCATGTTACCGCCCCCCACGCCATTGAAGGCATCCTAAAACAACCACCCGACAGGTGAATAAGTAATGCCCGGCTAACTCATTATCAAGGCCTCCTTTTAAATCCAGTTAGAATCTTGTTCCAGGCACCGGCTACTCTAAACCCGGTCACCCTGTTGCCCAACCCATATAAAGAAAGCGCCTTGCACGACTGCCAAGATATCCTGGCGCAGGTCTATGGTACGAGGGAAGACCTCCGAGACCAACCCTTGGCTGACACCGATGAAACTTGATACACAGATGGTAGCAGTTTCGTGCAGGACAGAACCAGGTACGCCGGGGCAGCAGTAACCACAGAGATTGAGACTTTATGGGCAGCGCCACTTGCGGCCGGGACCTCAGCACAGCGAGTTGACCTCATCACCCTCACAAAGGCTTTAGTCATGAAAAAGGGCGAAAGATAAATATTTATACTGACAGCAGGCATACATTTGCAACTGCACATATTCATGGAGCCATCTACAAGGTAAGATGGCTCTTAAGGGCAGAGGAAAAAACCATCAAAAATAAAACTGAAATCCTTGAGTTGTTACAGGCACTCTGGTTACCCAAAGCCCTGGCTATAATGCATTGCCCGGGGCATCAAAAGGACAACACACCAATTGCACAAGGAAACCGGCTGGCACAAGGAAAACTGAGGCCAAAAAGACAGCCCTTTCCATGGACCATGTCTTAGTGACCACACTACCAGACCCCGGGCCCCCGGATCTACCTGAGAGCCCGAACTACACAGAGGAAGATTTGAAATGGAGAAACGAACAACCAAAAATTATGTTTTCAGACGGCTGGTCGTGGATCCAACACTGGGACAAGGAACCCCATAAATGGGATGTCATTCTTCCAGAACGGTTGGGCCAATGGCTGCTCATAAAAATGCACAAAAAAGCCGGGCTCAGTGGCTCAGCCTGTAATCCCGCGCCTTTGGGAGGCTGAGGTGAGTGAATTGCCTGAGCCCGCGGGTTCGAGACCCGCCTGGGCAGCGAGACCTCATCTCTACAATAAATCAAAAAATCAGCCGGGCGTGGTAGCGTGCGCCTGTAATACCGGCTGCTTGGAAGGCTGAGGTGGAAGGATCGCCGGAGCCCAGCAGGCGAGGCTGCAGTGGCCGGGAGCGGCCACTTCACTCCAGTCTGGGTGACAGAGTGAGACTCCAACTCAAAAAAAAAAAAAATGCACAAAAACACCCACTTAGGAGCTAGAAAAATGAAACAATTAATATGCCATGCAAATATAATTATACCCATTGCCCGACGGGAAATTGAACAAATTGTAAACCAATGTCAAGCCTGCAAAATTGTCGATGCAACTAATCCTAAACAAAATCCGGGCACCAGACTTCAGGGAAACTAGCCAGGGGCCTACTGGGAAGTGGACTTTACTGAGATAAAACCGGGAAAATATGGGTACAAGTATTTACTAGTATGTATAGACACTTTTTCAGGAAAGACAGAGACATTCCCCACCAAGAACAAGACTACACAGGTGGTAGCCACAGCTGGTAGCCTACAAACCCTACAAAAGGTCCATGAGCAGGTATGGCCCAGATTAAAGGCCCTTTATGAAACTGGACCACCGCCGACTTCCCACAACTACCAACCAGGGGACTGGGTGTACGTCCAGCGACATCAGCACAAGACCCTGCAGCCTCGGTGGAAGGGTCTGTACGTCGTGATCCTGTCCACGCCCACTGCCTTAAAAGTGGAAGGTGTAGCGTCTTTGATCCACCACACCCAAGTCAAACCTGCCGACACTCTTGCTTTACTGAAAAACTACGTGCCCAAATAGAACAGTCAGCTGGACAAAAACAATCCTCTAAAGCTAAGACTGTGTCACACTTCCTCCGCCTCTACTTCTTCATAATGGGGATAGGGTCCCTTTGGGCAGCTCCTAATCCCCACCAACCTGTAAACTTAACCTGGCAGGTTATTGACCTCTCCACAAACAACATTATCTGGCAAACCTCAAAATTAAACCCCCAAAACACATGGTTCCCTGTTATAACCGGGGATCTAACCCATTTCTACCATACTGCCGCTATGCAGTAAAAACTAACCCAGGGAGGCACTAGTGGCAGGTACTGGTATTTTTATGTATGTCCGGGGCATGATAGAGATAAAAAGTATAACTCCCCCAATCAATATTATTGCCCAAACTGGTCCTGTGTCACCACGGG